TTTATTAATTATTAGTTATTAATTATGAATTAACTGTAAATATTCATAATGCACACTGTCTCAGCTGAAAAATCCAGTGTTTACGCCTGCAGTACGCAGCCTGTACGCTAGAGCGCAGCACGGCACTGCAGTCTGGCGCCAGAGCGGCTCGCTGGAGCTTACTGAGTTTACATCTTTAACACGACACAAACATTTAGTTTCCGAGCAAAAACAATGTTTTTAGTATTTGTAATGATATGATAACATTCTAATGTTTCCTCAGGCGATTTTAAATCAACCGTCTTAATCTGACAATATTCGCCACGTTAATGATCATTCTGAATCTTCGCTCCCTTTTAGTCAACTCCAACTAGCAGATGTCGACACGAATTTATCAAATATGTATATATAGACTCAATGTGTAAAATAGTTGAAATGCACTTACCATGCGTTGTTTTCGCTGTCTTGGTTGACAAATGTGCGTCGCATTTTCTTGGTGAATTATTTTTGTAGTACCTGAAAACACAGAGCGAAAACAAGAATTATAGCCTAAAGTGTATTTTAATTTTCACTCACCACAAACAAAACTTGTCAAAAAATGTCTTCACATAGGCTAAATGAATTTCTTGCTTCGTAATTGAGAGGAATTGCACGACAAATGCTTTTCGCAGCATTCAGGACAACTTTCTCCTTTTGAGCATCATCTGACAGATCAAACTGTCAAGCAACATACACTTGATGTTCAAAACAATATTATAGAGTTGAGACTGAAAGGTTGTGTATCTCTGAACCAAACTGAAGTCGTTTTAGATGTAGGCTAAATATGACTGGACATGTCAATCGTTTAAACATTCATAAATTTATGCAATTGTTGGCTTATTGAATGAAATGGACAAATCTGAGATTTCTGAGACTTCATTTATTAAAAAAAAAAAAAGTAAAATAATCACCACGAATCTCGTGTGCACATAATTGCAACAACACATAAAGACCAACATGCCACGCAAAACCAGCAACAACACACAAAGACCAAAATGCCATAGCCTACATATAACGCAAAACACGCAGCAAACAGAGACCATAGGCCTATATATAATACAGTGCGCGAATAAAGCTTCGGGCCTTCGGGCCTTCATCGCAGCAAAACTCTTAACTGCATCGATTCTCTGAGTAACGGGAAGCAATGTCACTGGCTGAGTAAGCAATCTCCTCCTGACCTGGTGATGGTGGACTTGACGGTAGATTTGAAAGCAGGCCGATGTTAGCTTCTGCTCTCGGGATGCTGCTAGCACGTCGATAACGTTAGCTGTGCTAGCGGCATAGTAGCGGTCTCGTGGTTCTGTGGTGGACAAGGCGTGTCATTTCAAATTCTTGGATTAATATATTTCAACAATGAACCCCTCTGTTGTTGGTGTGCTTTTTCCTTTATTAGTCGTCTCTTTTTATATTCGCAACCAGATAATTTATTTAGTTTCGACATCCTGCTGCATTAGTCCCTGATCACGTGACGCAATGAACGGATCACCCATATGAACATAAGACTCGGAAGGTAAAGTAGCTAATATTTTTTTACTGCATTATGATTTCTTAATTTAGTTATGGGATCAACATTGCGTAGGTCGATGTGATCGGGGAATATGGCTGTTAAAAGTATAACATTTAAAGTCACTTGAATTGACGAAATGACTCGAATGAGTCAAAATGACTCATGACTCGTGAGAGTAGTGGGGCGGCCGCTGCTCCGTCAATCAAATAACATATTTGCCCTGAAGAAGGCCAATGAGGCCGAAACATGTTGGCATATGCTTTTAATGGATAGCCAAGTTTAAATAAAGGCTTTTTATATTTATTTTCCTTTTGAGTGCCTCGAATTACTGTTTATCTGGGAAACACTTGGATCTCCAAACTGAAGAGCACCAAAGGAACACACCTCGTAACACCCAAGTAGCACTCCTAGTAATTCATTTGTGAACATATTGTGAATTGTTCATTCGCGGTTGGCACACATTTTGCCGCCCTTACTCGAGAAAACAAATCCATAAAGCCATTGCTTCATTTGATCATTCAACCATGACATTTATTAAATGTAGGCTATATGAGAAAAAATAAAAATGAATACATGTGTTCTCTTAACTCTTAAGTTTTACACATTAGAAGCACACACAAAAATTAGTAGAGACCGGACACACCCGCTACGGCAATGTGCCTTTGCCGCAGCGCCGAGTGTGGAGGACTGGCTGAGGGAGATGAAGGGCAAAGCTGGCTCATCTGCTGCTGCCACTGGCTCTGTTGTCGCCACGTTGTTGGTTTAGCTACTTCACGCAAATGCTGCTGTGTTATTTTTTAGACAGTCCTTATTTATTTATTTATTTATTTATTTATTTTATATATTAAAGCATGCAGCTTTATGTAGCCATATGCATGTCTGTGTCTGCTGTCGAGCGTTTGTCGAGGGTTTTCGGGCCAATCAGCAGCTCGGATTGTCGAGCGTTTGTCGAGCGTTTTCAGTTTTGGGCCAATCGGCAGCTCGGACTGTCGAGCGTTTGTCGAGCGTTTTGGGCCAATCAACGGTTAGTATACTCTGAAAACGCTCGACAATCCGAGCTGCCGATTGGCCCAACTGAAAACGCTCGACAAACGCTCGACAATACGAGCTGCTGATTGGCCGACATCCAGAGGCCGGACAAACGCGGTCCAAATGAGACACCATCAAAACGCAGGATCGAATCCCGACGGAAGCACAAATATTAAACATTATATTACACACTATTATAATCCCGACCGAAGCACAAATATTAAACATTATATTACACACTATTATATTCATCATATTATGCTTATTTGTGTATGCATAAAAATCATCTGCCGTGTATTATGTGTTTCACGTTTTTCTGCAAATATTAAAATCTGTTGTGTTAAACATTATATTGCATTTAATATTTATACTGTTTAACCTTTTTCTGCATAGATATTAATGTGTGTTAAATAATATATTGTATTTATATTGTTTCACCTTTTTCTGCGTAGATTTTTAAATCTGTTGTGTTAAACATTATATTGTATTTATATTGTTTAACCTTTTTCTGCATATATATATTAAATAGTAGTTGTTGATGATTATGTATAGATGCAGAAAACACCAAACACAGCGGCATATTGTGAAATAGATTAGGCTATTTTTTTAAACTACAATACAATGTAGTTTAAGTAAAAATAATATAGTAGGCTACAATGTAGTTTAAGTAAAAATAATATAATAGGCTACAATGTAGTTTAAATAGTAATGATATGCAAACTTACATCAACGAAAAAATGCGGGTTAGCGAAAAGGCAAAAAAAAAGCAAAAAGGCAAAAAAATAAAAAAAGAGGGCAAAAAGATTGCAAAAGGGCAAAAAAAGACCGCAAAAAGGCAGTTGTGGCGTTTAAAAAAAAAGTTTGTGTTGAAGGTTGTGATAAATCGAGTAAAACAGCAAGGGAGCGTTAATTCGGGGTAAATTGTGATTTTGACAAGCGTGAATGACGTCTGAGGTCGCCGACTCACGCGCCCAGCATGGCCGAGGTGGGCTGTCGGCTATAATGCGAGGAACGAGCGCCTCTGAAACAATTCGTCGGCCGGCCAATGAGACGAGGGGAGCAGAGGCGGGACTTGGTGAAACAATTCGTCCGTCGGCCAATCCGTGAGCGGAGCGCGGTGAAACAATTCGTCCGTCGGCCAATCCGTGAGCGGAGCGCGGTGAAACAATTTGCAACAATTCACCCAAATGTCAACTCGCGGTTCCCGGCCAATCTTCTCTGTTGGCCCCTTTGCGGTCCCCTGCGCACCTGGGCCACACCCATTCACCTGAGTATAAATGTTGGGGCCCCACTGTGTGATATATATGTTGACCAGTTTGATTCCGTATCCTGGTAAAGCTTTGAAAAGCCAAGCAGAAGTGTCAGTGCCCTCGGCAGCTCAATCAGCACTTCCACCTTTCCCCTTTGTTGTAAACCTGTCAGGTCCGGCCATAAGACGAGGGCAGCGCCATCCTCCCTCCGCTTCAGCACCCGCACTCTCTACTCCACCACCAGCATCCCTCTCTTCACCTTTGAGTAGAACAACTTTGTGGAGGAAGAGGAAGGCTGAAGAGTTTTTAGCCCGGAAACAAGGGCTACCCCTCCACAGAAACATGTTCGGAAACAGTAGGCCCATACATGCAGTCGATGTGGGCAGCTCAGAAAAAAAGAGTTTGGGCACACCAGGGTGGGCAGCTACATCTTCTGTGCCACAGCAGAGGGAAAGACTAAAGAAAAATGAAGAAAATCCTTAATTGTAAATAACTGTTTATTATTAAATATCTTTTGTTGTAAATAACAATTTATTTGTAAATAACCTTCATTTTTAAATAACAATTTATTTGTAAATATCCTTCATTTTAAATAACAATTTATTTGTAAATATTCGTTGTAAATAACACAAATATCCTTCATCGTAAATAACAATTTATTTGTAAATATTGTGATGGATCACAGGGTGTAATACTTGATTTATTCCAGTAGGTGTCTGTGGGTAACACTATTTGTGTCCTCAGGTTGATTGCTGTGAAACAGGTGTGGAGAATTGATGGTGATTGACCATGCTGCTCATAAGAAGCTGGAAGAAGAAAGCTGCTGCTGAGAAAAGAAAAAAGGCTGCTAGGAGCTTGGTCTTGCTGTTTGATTGTCCTGCTGACTCTCTCGCCCTCTCCAGTCCAAGGCTTGACGATGTTGTTTGTTATTTTTATGTTTTATCTTAATGTAGTCATGTTGTTTTTTTCTTGATTAAATATCTATTTGTGCAAATTTGATTATGTTGTATGGCCTCTCCATTCATGTTGCTGCTCCTTGAGCCAAGGGGTCGTAACATATGGGGGCTCGTGATTCGGTAGTTAGAATAATTGGTTTGAGAAAATTGGATTATTATTTTGGTCAAATAAGGGGAGTGCCATTCCAAAAAGTTTTGTTTATTTGGATTAGTGGTTTTGGACTGGAGAGAGAGATAAAAAACAACAACAACCTGCGACTGGATTGCTTGGAGGTGGCGGTTTAGACTGCTATGAGCCATATAACCCCGTGTTAGGCTGAAGAGCGCTTAACGCTTTTTTTATTTTAGTTTGTTGTGTTTGGTACGTCGGACGCGGGTAGACTGGTTAGCAGTTGAGCTGCATGTGGGCGTACTGAAGACTAGGGTTGAGATGATTAGTTGTTTATGTATTAGTTAGATACGGGGTGGCTTTTCCCTCATGCAGTTGAAGTGTAACCAGTTGGATCGCGTGAGTTGTCTATTCATATTGTTTGTTCAAAAGTTCTTTTAGTAACAACAAAATAAGGCAAAAATGGAATTGTTAACGGATTTTTTAACTGCTCCTACGATGGGAAAATTAGGGTGTCTCTCAAAAGAGCAATTATTTTAAATAGCTGAACATTTTGATCTTGAATTAGCTTTAACACAAAGTACAAAGATAACCTCGCCGAGAGGCTATAGAGGAGAAATTAAGAGAGATGTTAATTTTAAATTCAGAGACACAGCCTGAGGAAGGATTTACGATGAGGGATATCTGTGTTATTTACAATGAAGGATATTTACAAATACATTTTTATTTACAACAAAAGATATTTACAAACAAACAGTTATTTACAATTAAGGATTTTCTTCATTTTTCTTCCACAGTCTTTCCCTCTGCTGTGGCACAGAAGAACCCTGGTGTGCCCAAACTCTTTTTTTCTGAGCTGCCCACATCGACTACATGTGTGGGCCTACTGTTTTCGAACATGTTTCTGTGGAGGGGGCAGCACTTGTTTCCGGGCTAAAAACTCTTCCTCTTCCTCCACAAAGTTGTTCTACTCAAAGGTGACGAGAGGGATGCTGCCGGTTGTTTTACAGTGGGTCATAATATATCATATCGTTTAGTTTGTCAGTGCGTTTTGTGGTGTTAGGAATTTTTCTGCGCATTTCATCACTAACTCAAACGTGCGTACACCACCTCCTGAGCGGGTGTAGGATTCGAGCGTGCCGTACGCCCACGTCCATATTGATAAATCTCAAAATCAACGTGGTTTGAGTGTACGCTGGAAATTTGGTGTACGCACTTTTGATAAATGAGGGCCACTGTGTCTGCCAGTCGAGGTTCTGCACAAAATGTGTGAACGACCCACCCCAACTGATCTTTGCTTGACCTTTCAAAGGTGTCAAACTCGGAACAATAGACCATTTCACAAGATGTAAACAACACTGGTCCAGAAGCACTTCCTGTTTCAGTTTGTAACTGTTTTCTTTATTTCACATGTAAAGAAAACATCTTAAAGATGTTTGTTTAACTTTTTGATTCAGTTTTAAATGTTCTGTTGGTTGTATTTTATCCCAGCTTTTATGTAAAAAAAAAACTGAAACAGGAAGTGCTTCTGGACCAGTGTTGTTTACATCTTGTGAAATGGTCTATAGCATTCCAACACCTTGCCTGACGGCTGAGGTTCTATTCAAGATGTGTTAACGACCCCCCATTGAGCCTTGCTTAACCTTGAACCAGACTTGAAACAATATCAAAGTCTGTACAGTTTTTTTTTGTTTTTTTTTAAATCTTTTTGTATGGGAAACATCACACATTTTTTATTTATAAAGAAAGAACACTTTAAAGGAACTTTAATAGCCTTTGTCTGTGTGTGTTTTAACAGGTTCTCTTGTGATCTGCATGTGACAAAGTTAATGAGAGAGCGCTCTCTCTGCAACAGCGTCTCTATGCTGTAACACAAGCTGTGAGGAATGGATGGAGAGGTCCCTGCGATACCTCTCTGTGTGTGACCGGTTCTGGGGTACCACCACGCAGCCCATCTCACGCAGCCCATCCGACCGGCCGCCCAGTGGCTCCTCTCTGTCCACGCAGAGGATATCCGGTCCCGGTACGGATGAGCTCAAAGCCAGGGTCACCTCTGTCTTTGGGTCCATCCTGAAGATGGACTCCACAAAAAAGGTGACATATTAATCAAATATAAATGTGTATAAATATATATATATATTTTGTTTATCTGTACTGAATTTTCTGTTTTTCAACAATAGGTGGCCAAAAAACTGGTGGGAGCTGCAGCTGGGTCACCAATGTGGGCAATGAGCACGGACAGGTCCTCATGTCTGTGCTCACCTCACATGAGTGTCGGGGACTGCTGCCCATGACCACTGGCTTGGTAAAAAGGTACGAGGCGGCTGGAGTCGCTCCCCCAACACTCCTGTATGTGGACAGAGACTGCTGCTCTTCTGTGGGGACCTCCAGAGCAGGTGCCATGTTCAGCGGCTGGAGTGACATGGTGGTCCGTCTTGATGTGTGGCACTTCGCCGCAGGTCTGCACACTGACAGCCACCCGCTCTTTTTTTTTTTTTACTTTTGCACATTTATTTGCCCTCTTAAAAACCATGAAACAGTTCTCTATTTCAGAATCCCCCTTCACAAAGTTCATATTAATAGTCTTAAATGCTTGTTCTTTATTTTAGAACACTTATTTGCTCTCATAATGGTCATTAAACAGTCGTAAACTACTTAACCTTAATTTGCCTTCACAAAGTCCATGTTAACAGTCCTAAATGACTTTTCATTGTTTTAGAACCATTTTTGTGTTCGTTAAGTTCATGTTAATTGTCTTACCCATTTGTGAAGCTTTTGATTTATTTAAATTATTCATTAGCATTCTAATGTTTCCCTAAATACATCTCAGAGTCAAACGTAACAAGTCTGGGTTTTTATTTTAGATATTTATTCAATAGTTCACACCGGAACTATAAATAATAAATGCAAATATTAAAACAGAACAAATTAACAAGAGTGCACAAAGTTAACAAAGAAATAAATAGATAAAAATTGAGACAAATAGATGAATAAAGGATAAAAATAGATGAATGTAAACAAATACAAATATTAAAATAATTTTTCAAAAGAAAGAATTAACAAAAATACATTTCTCAACAGGAGCAAGTGCCCGTTGCTCCGCCAGCCAAAGTCCCACACTTTTCCCCTCGTAGGAGCTACAAAAGGCTTTGCCGGCATATCGTGAGTGTCCAAACTCCTTTGTTTTAGGTTGCTGGCACAGACTGCAAGTAATCGGAGTGCACTTTTTTGGCCTTTTCTGGGGCAGGCCTAAGGAAATGGCCTCTTCTTTTTTCGTCCTCCTCCAGGCCGTTGTCCTGGGCACATCAGGTACATTGTCCGCAGCCGCAATCCTTTTCAGTTCAGACAGCCATTGAGAGGCTGTCTTCCCAGCAGAAGTGGCACAGAAGCTTTTGCCACGGTAAAAGCTGTGTCCAAACTCCAAACGCTTGGGCTTCCCACACAGCCTGCAGGGAAAGCCTCTTGGATCCCGTCGCCTGGCAGTGGCTTTGTTCCGCTTTAAGGCCTTGAGGTCTTCCTTTGCCCTCTTCTTGCTTCTCCAGGCTGTGGCTCTGGGCACCCGTTTAAGGGCCGCCTCGGCCACAGCTGATGGAGGAGGGAGCACAGCCAGCGAAGCGCATGGGGAAACTGTAAAGACAAAAAAACAAAGTTATTTTAGACGTTTGTTGCATTTTGATATGATTTCATTCTTTTACATTGATGTATAGTTTAAAGATCTTACCCGACACTTTCAGTCGTCTCATCTGTGGAGGCCACTGCTTGCTTGTGGATGTGGTGGATCCATCCAGGCTCTCCCTGAAAAGCCTCCTTCTCTCACTTTCCTCTGAAGAAATTACTGGAGGCCAGTAGGGCTTGGAGAACTTTAGCAGACGCTTCTCCTTTTCTGCCTTGCTGACACGCAAGACAGTGTTTGAAAAGTCTGCTTCGAGTTTCTGGCGAAACTTCTCCCTCCGTAGCTGCTCTTGTTTTGGGAGGACTGGAGGCCATCCTGGTTTTCTAGGCATTTTCTAACCGTTTTCTAGGAATCTCTTTCACAGAATCAAACTGGTCAATATATCACACAGTGGGGCCCCAACATTTATACTCAGGTGAATGGGTGTGGCTCAGGTGCGCAGGGGGGCACAAGTGGGCCAACAGAGAAGATTGGCCGGGATCTTGACTAATGTTAAACATCTCGGGTTATATGGCTAATAGCAGTCTAAACCGCCACCTCAAAGCAATCCAGTCGCAGGTTGTTGTTGTTTTTTTATCTCTCTCTCCAGTCCAAAACCACTAATCCAAATAAACAAAACTTTTTGAATGACACTCCCCTTATTTGACCAAAATAATAATCCAATTTTCTCAAACCAATTATTCTAATTAAAGAATTAACCGAATCATGGACGAGCCCCCATATGTTAGGACCCCTTGGCTCAAGGAGCCGCAACATGAATGGAGAGGCCGTACAACATAATCAAATTTGCACAAATAGATATTTAACCAAGAATACACAACATGACTACATTAAAGTATAAGATAAAACATAAAAATAACAAACAACATCGTCAAGCCTTGGACTGGAGAGGGTGAAAGAGTCAGCAGGACAACCAAACAGCATGCAAGACCAGCCTTTTTTCTTTTCTCAGCAGCAGCTTTCTTCTTCCAGCTTCTTATGAGCAGCATGGTCAATCACCATCAATTCTCCACACCTGTTTCACAGCAATCAACCTGAGGACACAAATAGTGTTACCCAGAGACACCTACTGGAAAAAATCAAGTATTACACCCCGTGATCCATCACAATATTTACAAATAAATTGTTATTTACTATGAAGGATATTTGTGTTATTTACAACGAAGGATATTTACAAATAAATTGTTATTTACCACGAATGATATTTACAAATAAATTGTTATTTACAACAAAGAATATTTACAAATAAATTGTTATTTACAACGAAGGATATTTGTGTTATTTACAACGAAGGATATTTACAAATAAACAGTTATTTACAATTAAGGATTTTCTTCATTTTTCTTTAGTCTTTCCCTCTGCTGTGGCACAGAAGAAGTAGCTGCCCACCCTGGTGTGCCCAAACTCTTTTTTTCTGAGCTGCCCACATCGACTGCATGTGTGGGCCTACAGTTTTCTAACATGTTTCTGTGGAGGGGGCAGCCCTTGTTTCTGGGCTAAAAACTCTTCAGCCTTCCTCTTCCTCCACAAAGTTGTTCTACTCAAAGGTGAAGAGAGGGATGCTGCCGGTGGAGTAGAGAGTGCGGGTGCTGAAGCGGAGGGAGCAGGGGCGTAATTTGCGGGTGGGACGGGTGGGACGGGTGGGACATGTCCCCACCACTTTTTGCCAGGGTCGATATTGTCCCCACCACTTTTTAAAAGCTCTCCCCGCACGGATAGCTAACAGTAGAAATAAATAAAACATCTCCAACTGGCAGACCAGTCATTTCATTCGTTTGTAAAATAAAAGAAGCGATCTAGCCCTGAAATACGTTGTTTTTTTAAAATCAAGTGATCAAAGTGATCCTTGCCGCCTGCGATCGGTGGCGCGGTTACAGTGTATCTCGTGGCTCACGCACAGTCTTCACATGCATGCGCGCTTCAATCCGTTTCGGAGACTATTTTTTGTTCGTTCCGGTGCAGAGCATTTGAGCAGAGTGGAGCGGGAGAGAGCGGGGAGCGAGCGGGCGGATCTTGGACAGAGCGCAGAAGGGCTTTTTTTAAAGGACGGAGCGTCGTCGCCCTATTTCCCGCTCCAATTTCGCTCCGCTCACCTCACAACACGAGACTGGCAGAGAGGGTTTTCTCCGCAGCCACCGCATGAGTCTGAATCCTCAGACATTGTCCAAACTTGTGTTCTTGAAGGTGAACTCAAAAGAACTGTAGATAAGGAAAGCAATTCGTTTTCTTTCTTTCTTTCTTTTTTTTAAAAGGTTTGACAACATAAGCCATTTAAATTGTAATCTATGTGCACTCTGCGCAAAAGTTCAGTTATACGAATTTGGCCTAGTTCATTTAGCATACTTTTAAAACGTTGATGTAGCCTACAGTAGCCCTATAGCCTGTATATTTTTATTTATATATAATTAGGCTCATTGATTCGTTTAATTTTACAGCATTTTTTTTTTTTTGGTACAATTGATATAAGCATCATTTTATTTTATTCGTGCGCGCTGTGCAAAAGTTTAGCTATCAAAATGTTGGCCTAATAGTTAATTTACTTTTTAAATTTACTTTTAAAATGTTTATGTAGGCCTTTATTCTTTTATTTTTTTTTACATTTTTGCTTATACACTTTTTTATCTTTATTTATATTATTGGGCCCATTTATTCGTTTTGTATAGCAGTTTGTGTGTACAATGGAGAGGCTATAAGCCAATTTAAATTTTAATCGTGCGCGTTCCGCTAAAAATCAGTTATCAAAATTCTGGCCTAATAGTTAATTTACTTTTAAAACTTTTATGTATATTTTTGTTTATATAATTTTTATTCATATTATTAGGTCAATTTATTCGTTTAATTTTACAGGACTTTCTGTAGGCCTATAGGCTATTTCCACTGCCACTGGACATGTTGTAAAGTCGGATCTATGTTTTTATTCACGTGTCACGTGATTCATTCATTTACACACATGTCCCACCCACTTTTTAAAACAAAGTTACGCCACTGGGAGGGAGGATGGCGCTGCCCTCGTCTTATGGCCGGACCTGACAGGTTTACAACAAAGGGGAAAGGTGGAAGTGCTGATTGAGGGGCCGAGGGCACTGACTCTTCTTTTGCCCTCTTCTTCCTTCTCCAGGCTGTGGCTCTGGGCACCCGTTTAAGGGCCGCCTCGGCCACAGCTGATGGAGGAGGGAGCACAGCCAGCGAAGCGCATGGAGGAACTGTAAAGACAAAAAAACAAAGTTATTTTAGACATTTGTTGCATTTGATATGATTTCATTCATTTACATTGATTAAAGATCTTACCCGACACTTTCAGTCGTTTCATCTGTGGAGTGGAGGCCACTGCTTGCTCGTGGATTTAGGAGATCCATCCAGGCTCTCCCTGAAAAGTCTCCTTGTCGGCAAAGCCGGCCCTGCCCCCACTGGACCCTTCGGAGGCGAACCGTTTGGCGAGTTTCACACCGGACGAGAAGCGCAGCGCCACGTCTTTAAAATTCAGACACATTTTCTGTTCGAGTCTACATACACCGGTTGTGTTGTTCGGCGTTCCCAGGATACGGAATCAAACTAGTCAACATATATCACACAGTGGGGCCTCAACATTTATACTCAGGTGAATGGTGTGGCCCAGGTGCGCAGGGGGCCGCAAAGGGGGCCAACAGAGAAGATTGGCCGGGAACCGCGAGTCGACCTTTGGGTGAATTGTTGCAAATTGTTTCACCGCGCTCCGCTCACGGATTGGCCGACGGACGAAGTGTTTCACCGCGCTCCGCTCACGGATTGGCCGACGGACGAATTGTTTCACCAAGTCCCGCCTCTGCTCCCCTCGTCTCATTGGCCGGCCGACGAATTGTTTCAGAGGAGCTCGTTTCTCGCATTAGCCGAGAGCCCGCCTCGGCCACGCAGGGCGCGTGAGTCGGCGACCTCAGACGTCATTCACGCTTGTCAAAATCACAATTTACCCCGAATTAACGCTCCCTTGCTGTTTTACTCGATTTATCACAACCTTCAACACTAACGTTTTTTTAAAAACGCCATAACTGCCTTTTTGCGGTCTTTTTTTTTTTTTTTTTGCCCTTTTGCAGTCTTTTTTGCCTTTTTGCAGTCTTTGTTTTTGCCTTTTTGCTAACCCGCATTTTTTCGTTGAGCATGTAGGCTACATTACGTTTTTATATTTTTACTTAAACTACATTGTATTGTAGGCTATTTGTTAAACATTGGTTACCTTGAATGTGCTCTTATTATGACTGTTGACTGGGGGTGTGAGTCTAAGGGGTGTGGTTCGTATGTTTTCCAGGTGTTTATTCCTCCGTCATGTTTTAGCCGGTTTTCTACCCTTTATGTGATGATGGCAAACTCAACAGTATTATATTATTTTTACTAAACTACATTGTATTGTAGTTTAAAATAAATAATCTATATATGTTTATAAAAATACGTCTTCCAGATGTAAACATCACATCAAATATTGTGCTATCTGGGTTATTAACATGTCACTGTGATGTGATGATCCCCTTTATCGGAAGTGTTCTGGGGCTGTTTAGTTTAAACAAAGCTCATCACCTGCCTACAGAGTATACAAGCTCTGGTTTAGAAGAACAACGGGATTTAAAAGTGTATCATGGTGCCTATTAATGTAATGTAACTCTTGTCAGAGCTGAAGTAAATAGTTTTGTCAGAGAAATAGTTCTTAGTTAAAGAGAAAAGGCTTGGCTTCATGTTGAACTATGTAGTAAACCTTTTTCCAAAGATCTTTGTGCAGTCGTGGCAAGTACAATTTAAACACATAGTTAACACATTGGCTGCAATTTTTGTAACTATTGCTATTTTTCTGACTGAAAATTGTGAATGTTTTTATTTATCTGTTTATAATGTACTTAGAAATGCCCATAGTTGAAAATCAGCATCCGATAAACTCTATATGCTGCGCATCAGTTACAGGCTTTGTATTCTATGCAACTATGTTTGACTGTATGATTTGTTTAGTATTTTTATTTTTTATCAGAAATAACTGAACTAAGTTGATCATTGTGTCACTCTGCATTCTGGGGGATTTAATGCGGTTAACTTTAAAGTTTTTACCTTCACACAAAAAAAAAGTGGTGTGGAAAATAAATTGTCAGAAATGTCAAATACAATAAATGTCATAAATTACGGTTTAGAAATTGTTAAAATTGTAATTATTATTTATTTACCTGTCTAAATATTTTAATCATATATGCATTTTAACAGTATTTGAAGATCTCCAATGCAAAAGCCTCTAAAAGCCACCTCTGTCAAATATTAGATAATAATATTGAGTGAATTAGGCTATGTGGCCTGTTTGCCCCAGCTGGCAGATGTTGAAACTACACTTGTAAGGGAACTCAAAGCATCTTCCTCCTTTGATGAATATTCAAATCAAATGTATATGTATGTGTAGTCTGATAAAATGAAAGCATTTACAAGCAACATACAATTGCAAATATTTCAAAATAATTTAGCAGTGACTAATATTTTTTGGATAGGCTACACAGCAACATGACTCTCTTCATGCAGATGACTGCTTTAGCGCCCCCTTGTGACTGAATGTGGAACCATATTTTGTTACGATCACTCACTCTGTGATATTTTAGCCCTTTAAGTTTGTCATGAGTTGCGACAGCCTGCCACAAATCTGCAATAAATCAAAATACGGATGCAGTTGGAATGTTGGATATGAGTTGCTGTTTCAGAGATATGAATTATCTTCGTCTTACATTTAGTCATTTAAAACCCTGTGCGTGATATGCCTGTTAACAGCGAGTTATAGATTTGTTATTGGCTAAGTGAATGTCCTATGTCTTAACCCAAATCTCATTTTTACCCTAAAGATGATTTTTTTTTTAATGGTAGCTAATTAGAACAAAATTTAACAATCAATATCATTTATGTAAAAAAAAAAAAAAGAAAGTTCAATAAAAAAAGGGTTCCATAACTTAGTATCAAAGCCTTAGTTCAAAGCCTGTTTTCATTGTCTGATGCAACTGAGGTCGTGGGGTTTTAGTGAGAAGTTTGACCTATCAACTTATAATACTCATCATAACTGTAAATTCTAGACAAAATGAAATATTGGATTTTTAGTCAATTATTTTGTTATGTTCAACTCAAACTATCAAGTAAATGAATCAAGTATATATTTTATAAAATGAATTATTTCTGTGATATTTACTAAGTCCCTGAATAATTTTTTTGAGTGAAAAACAGAGGAACCGTGTTTTTGCAGTAACCGGCCCTTCGTTATGGAATAGCCTACCGGCTTACATCAGAAACTTGATCAGAAATGCCTAAACTTTGTCAAATCTACCTTAAACTTTTTTCAATTGCTTTCAGTATTTCTTGATTATCTTTTTTTTTTTTTTTTTTTTTTTCTCAATATTTTACCTCAGTTCATAGGTTTTCTATTGTTCATAGGTTTGTATCTTATTGTTTGTTTCCTTGGCTTTGAAGCACTTTGGTCAACATTTTTAAACATACAATTTTATTTTATTGTATTTGATCAGTTGTTCATTCAAGACTATTGATTTCAAGTGTAGGTCATAATACATTTAGGATGGAAGAAGTATTATAAATATAACCCAGCAACTACATTTTG